TTTTTTAAATTTAAAGTAACAGAAAACATGTAGTTGGAATGGGATTTTGCCCTTGCAAAAATAAACAGAAAAACTTTTCTCATGGAAGAGAGGACTGGACCTGAAAGACACATTTCTTACAGAATTTGGGAAAAAAGATTTCTAATGTTCATGAACAGTAGTTTTTCATACATTGATGTCTTCACACCTGTTTTGCTCCTCATCAATTGATTGTGCTTCTTTGGATCTTTGGAGAAAGACTTTAATATCCTATGAAAAGGAAAAAGGAAATGTTAAAAGTGATTTTATGTTGCAGCCTGTAAACTGCAGTAATAGTACCTTAAAACTTGCAGTAATAACACCTATTCTATAATAACACCCTGTCTATCCATGAGGTGAGTTTACCACTGACTAGATTATGGTGAAAAACTAACTTCAGTGGAGGTAAATTATATATTCCCCACGTTACAGATAACGTCTTCCAGCAGGGCACTGGAACTCATCCAGCTGAGGTGCTGTAATATCACTGAGATGATGTTTTCATGTTATCCACAGGACTTCATTGCCTTTGGTGGTTTTACAAGAAGTGCTGTGTTAAAATGCAACTCTTAAACAGAGATCTTAAACATCAGCTTAATATTATTGCTAAAGAGAGGTAACAAGACTGTTTAAACCAGTAAATGTTACTGAGAACATACTAAGACAAAATTTTCAATTAAGAGTGGTTTTTTTTGTCATATTTCAGTCTGAACTTAAACAAAAATTCCAGGAAATAGATATAAAAGAAAATAAGTAACTAACACTTTGAATAATATATAACCTCAGTAGGTTAATTTTGTGCTTAGTTCTTTATAGCATACTCTCTGATTTGTTAATTTTCAATAATTTTGTATTAGCAGAATCTCTGCATATCCCATTTCAGCAATACTATCCATTGTAGGATTTTATGTACATGTATTCCAGTATATATTTTGTGCATATTTTGGAGATACAACCTTTCATTAAACGCAGGAATTGCCTGCATGTAATGATGCCTCACAAACTTGCAAAATGTCAGAAGCATTGCAGTGAATACAGGACTATGCTAAAAGAAAATATTACCAGCCTTTGGTTTTAGAGGATTTCACTAATATTTATCTTTGACTCTAGGAAACATCTCACTGTAAGAAGGCATTTTTCAGCAAATTAAGTCAGAAAACATAGTTTCAATCCTCATTTGATAAAAATAACTGTAGTACTAAATACTGTAAAGAAAATAGGGATAGAATGCTCCAACAGTTTTGCTATGTCCATCTTTAATGAAGGAAAGTTATTTTTTTTAATGCGAACACCTATTATTTGTATTTTTTTAATATAAGAAAAAACATCTTTTATGTAAATTAAAGTTTCCAAGATTATTTAGGGGTGGGATACATGATCAAGAGAACCATAGGTACTTAAACACGGAGTTAGATTTTCCTTTTCTTGCACACTGAGACATTTGAAACACCACATGAAAAAAGCTTCTCAAGTTTCATAAGTATTACAGTTACAGCTTATGACTAGACAGTGCATCAGCAGTGCTTTTTTCTGTCAAAACCTTGATACCTGGTTCAGTTCATAAGATGTATTTAATATAATCTGTATGAGCTCTCCCTATGACAAGAATCTCTTTTACTTTGTGAAATGATACATGGAGTTCTGCATGTTTGTTGTGTAATATTAAATGGCTGTTGTGGGTATAAACAGGTTTTGTAATAGTTCTTCAACATAGCAATAAATGTTTTTTCACAAAGGCATGTTAACTACACATTAATAGAAATCCTGCTTCAGTGGAACTTCTATCTGAAAGAGTATCTGAATTATGTTACTGAAGTGATTAACAGAATGAACAACAGTAACAGCAGTAACTATATGACAGTTAATTTAGATTGATTAAGCAAGGGCCTGTGCTAAATGTATTCAAATCATAAACACATAGAAATATGACATGATATCCCTATCTTCAAAAACAGAGCCTTTTTTTAAAGGACTATTCAGGATTTGAAGGCAGAAGAAGAAATGTAACATAATTTATCCAGTTTATCATAATGTTTTTGATATTAATAAACTCCACGCTAATTATCAAACTACCTTGTCCTCAGTATTTATAAGAATGTAGTCCACTCAAAATCACATACTGCATTAAGCATTAAGAATTACAAAAGTAGAATATATCCCAGACTCTTTTTTTAAATTTATCACAATCAAAATGCTGAATTATTAAAATATGTGGTTGTTTCTGTATTACTGTATCTATGACAGTCTCAGAACAGATGGTAAAATTTTTAACAATAAATAATGAGGCCAAAGGAAAACCCCTTAATTGGCCAAATCGAATAGACAAACACACGCAGTGGAAAAAGCAGATTGTTTACTCCTCCCATCTGAATCAGCTGGTCTAATAAAAATCTTCTCTCATTCATTACTAGAGTTATTTAAAGGAAATTTAATTGAGCATGTAATGAAGTACCTTCATAAACATGCACTTGTAAATGTCATCTGCCTATTCTCAAGGAATAAATTTCATCTGGTAAGTGAAAAAAATGTGTTGATAATGGCAAACACTTGAAAGTTCTAGTTAGACCCAGAAAACCTTGTAATCAGGACAGAAAAGACATGATGAAAAAGTAATAGAATTTCTGGTCATATTAATTTGTAGATGTTTGTACTAAGGCTGACAGAAAGGTCAGAAACATCATGCAGGATGTTGCCAGCTCACTAGCAGAGAAAACAAAATCCCTGCAAAAGACAATATAGCTCACACAGAAAAAAAATTTTTTTGAGCTATGACAGATAGTAATACCTGACATTGAACAGGTCATCAAGATCCAAAAGAATCAGGTATCCAACTTAAATATGAAAAATTGTAAGCTAGACATTCCCTTTATAGTTCTCTACAGAACATTTTACTTTCTGTTGTTTACAACTGCATTAGTAGAAACATTTTAACTTTTAGAAACCACACCCTAACTTGCTATATTTATCTTGTAAAAGATCTCAAAATAACAGCACTGTGGTTGACTTTCATTTTTATAGACATCTCTAAGGAGAATTTCTGCAAAAATAATTGATGCTAAAAATATTGTCTTGGAAAGTAAAAAGTTTACCTGTTCCTCAAATAGGGAATTGATACAGGAAAAATCATCCTGGAGTCCATATGGAATAGACCAGAATTATAACATACTTAAAACAATGGATCCTGGGTCTCTGTACCTGTTTGCTGGTGAATATAGCACTTCTTTTTGTAAACTTAAGTATCGGTTTCACGCATAAAACAAAAGTCTATATTTCACATTACAGTCAAGGAATGAAATAATGTGGTTTTAGTACAGAAGCCATAGAGTACTCTAATTGAGATACAGTCAGTATAGGCCTTTTCAAAAGGAATTTTGAATTACTAAAAATGAGAACTGAAGCTCTGTATCACCTAACTGTTGAGTCAGGAGATACAGACATCAATGGAACCTGCCAATTAAGCAGAAAAATGTCACATTTAAATAAAATTACACCAACATATAAACAAGATGTAGGAACTCCTCTGGGCTAGAATATGTGCACTGAAACCCTCAGTTACTGCTAAGATTCATATCCACTATCCTAAAGCTTTTCTCACAGACCGACAATTTTTATACCTGAATTGCCCTGAATATATCCTACCAGCCAGAAATAGCACAGGCCAGAGTGAAAATGTTTTAACAAGGAATCCCTGTAAATTGCCTAGCATATAGATATGGCTTTACTCAGTTTGCACCCTAATTAAGTTTTTCTTTAGTTTCATCACATTTAGTCTTCATGAAGAGGGTGCATTATATTGAATACTACAAAGTCAGTGAGTGCATAAACAGTTCTTAGGGAAGAAAACATCTAAAGAGCTGGTTTAAAAAATGCTTTGGTCTACAGGAAAATCAGTGAGGTTATAAAAAAACCAAATTATAAAATGCAGTATTCAATTAAACAAAGAGTCAGGAAGAAAGAATGGGGAAGGGAAGAAAAGGGAAGGGAGGAATGACCTAACATTGCCTAGCATCCATCTTCCCAAACTGGCTGCAACATCAACATAGGCAGGATGGACACATGTGGATAGTTATAATCTTCAATAGTCTTGTCTTTGTCTTACATTTTCTATCACTTTTTACTGTAGCAAATGGAATTTTAACCCTCACTTTCACTGAGTAAAAATTCTTATATTTTATCTTTTACTATCTTTCACTAAGAATGATTATGAGTGATATAATAAACACTGGGCAATTCACACCCTACAAGTGAGGAATATAATTAAGAAACAGCAAATCACTCCTAAACTATCATGTATCATGTATCTTATCCAGATTTACATTTAGCAGGACACTATGTGGGTGATCATCTAAACCTTGTGATGACTCTATATTTGATGTGGGACACAACCTCTCATCTTCTCATGGTATTTTCTTACACCCGGTATATCACGTACTTTTTGCATAGTTTGATACCTTAAACAGGGTGATTCTCTGGGCCAAACTTGCCTTTTGTGCAACTGTTTTAATTGATGTTTAAACATAGGTGCAGGCAGCAGGGAAGAACACTTGGACCTGTACTGCCTCTGCATGCTCTTTTCTGCTGCCTGGTTGGCCTTGGAATGGAATGGGATCTACCACATATCCTACAGTGCCCTGCAGTACAATCCTGTTGGGAGGATAATTCAACCAGACTCCTTTTTGTGGATGGGGAGAAAGGCAAAGCCTAATCAGACAAGGCAGTGGAAAACTTGGAGGCAGCTCCAGGCCAACAAAACTTGTACAAAAATTGGGTCAGAAAGCAGCCCCATCTTTGCTGGATGGAATTTTCATGGAAAACAAAACACTTGTGTCCTGGGGTGACTTTATGATACTGGTACCTTCAATCGTTTAGTTTATGTTATATATTAAGTTCTGCACCTTTAAGACTGGGTTTAAGAGCAAAAGAGAGAGAAGAAAACAACCTGATCTACCCTAAAGCTGCTGGGCTGTATAGCTGATCTACACTGCATTTTCTATTGGTAGTATGTACATTAATTACACGTACATTTCTGGGTTAATGCAAATTTATGCATGTGTGCTTAAAGCCTTTGGTCCCAGACAGAATACTTACAGGAAGTTTGTATTCTTGGCATGTGTTGATCAAATCTTCCATGAAAGGATGCTTCAAAAGGAGTTCAACTGCAATGGGTGTCAGATCTTCAGCACCTAATTCTTGGTACATCTTAATGAAATGCTTCAAGTAAAAATAATACGTGGTCAATTTATTGTAAAAAAAACAGTGGAAAAGCATAAAGATCACAGCATATTTTTTTAATGTATGATGCAAGCTACAAAACCATCCTTGAATCAATCTGCCTACCTTATCATAGCTTTCTGCCTTCTTCAGACAGCTAAATCTATGATAGCCTTCATCTTTACTTCCTCCAGTGTGAAACACTTTGAGTAGACATGCCACTGAAATAATTCCTTCACCTGTGTCATTCAAGACTTCATTTTCATCCTCTATTAAAGTCTTTTCATTTGACAATATGTTAGGGCTTGAAGAATCCTAAAAATTTAGGCACAGGTATCACACTTGGGGAAAAACAGTCTGTCAGAAGATGATCTGTTTCACCTAAATGCCCATTAAGAACCAATGAATTATAATTCCAAACTTCAGTTCTTAATAAACAACAGTCATCATCTCACAAAAAATTATCTACTGCACTGTAGGATGGAGGTATAGATCCTGAAATATCCATAATTTTGGCTTTATCAAAAATTTAATAGACAGCTTTTTCCATGAATGTGGCCAACATTGCACAGAAAAATTAGTATTTCTCAGAGCAACAAAACCTAAAAAGATTTAATAGTTACAAACAACAATACCAAGAACTTTTTGTTTATTTAAGCATTAAAGTTAATAATTCTGGATATTCACATGAAAGAAGTATGAATTTTCTAGTCCAAATCTAGTCAGCACAAGAACTGTGTTTTGACCAACAGTTAGCCAGCTCTCCACAGATATAGGTACTTTCTAGTTTATGCAGAAAAATTAAGTTTACTTTAAGCAAGCAATTAGGTAACTTTGTAGTGATATTACAGCTGGTCAAAGAGAAAAAGACCCCAAAAACTAAACAGATAACCCTCATCTCTACCTGCTGTAGAGATTTGTGAGCACAAAGATGAGAAAGGACCTCACATAGGTGAACAGTGCTTTTGACTAGATTATGCCACATTGTAGATTAACCACTAAGCAGCAGGAAATTGCATGTAATTGAACAAACCATTTCTTTCCTCATTAGGAGGGAGAGAGACTGCTGAGGTTCAATCATACTTGTGCTATGTGCCTTGGGCCTTAATACATTTCATTTTGAGGAGGAGTAGTGTAATTTACAGTCTTTTAAACACACAATCAAGATACAACACATAATCAACACATAATCAAGATTACAGAAATATCAGCACTGAAGTTTTTGGGTCTCTCATTGCATTGCTTACACTGAGCTGTGAGACCTACACAACCCGTAATAACCTTATTTAAACTTAAAACAAAGTTAGTAAAAGAAGTCTCAAGAATATGTTTGTCTGAGCTTCTCTTAACAACATTGAAAGCTTCAGATGTATTTCTGCAGGCAAATACCAATGAGAAGTCATTACAATTATCAACACAGAACAAGAAAAAGAGAAGAGGCAAATTAGGTGAAATTCAGTAAGTGCCTATGTAAGAGCCAGCTACCTAAGATGCAAACTTCTTAGAGATGAGCTGGATAGCTCTTTATATTTCACCAATGAATGTTCCACTGACAATATTTACTAAATTTCCAGTACCTGGAGTGAGAATTGGGATATTTAGATCACATGCAAACGGCCACAGGGAAATAACAGCTTAGGTTCTTAATTTGATGATGAAAACCACTTTGGATGTCTTCAGGACTCTGTATTTGATGGAGCTTGGCTCAAACATGACACAATATCAAAGCACTATTTCCTTTTTGCCCCCTCGTGTTTGTGGAATAACTGTCACGAAATTCACTCTACTAAAGTCTATAGAGAAAACTAATGTAATTTACTTCAGTGGTACAGGATTTCTTTTATTGTCCTTTGTCAGTATTCAACATTATTGTTTCAGTGTGTAGGCATGGGGCACAAGGCTTCATGAGGAAGAAAGAAAATATTAAAATGATGTTTTAAATTTGGTCCAGTGATTCTGTGCACCAGCCTAGATAACTATAAAGTCAAAGAGAATCCACACAAGCAAGATTTGTTTATTATCTAATTCTTATATATTCCCAGGTTTCTGAGGGACTCTCCAAGGTGAATTAGGCACACAATCCGTATGTTTGCTACACTGTGGGACATACATCAGACATAGCACAGATTCTCAGAGCCAATGGCTTGAGTGAGAAAGCAGGCATGAGGAAATGCTCAGGTTAGATGGGACATCTCTCTCCTCAGAGATCCAGTGAATTCTGGGTTGAAGGCAAATGATCCCATTCACTCTTGACTTACAACCTCAAGAAGTTGACACGTAGTTGATAATGTTGATGTCAGTGATCTTACCTATATTCTACCAAACTTCCAAAAACATCAATGCAAACAGAAAATGGCAAAGAGGAGAATAGGTTGTGTAGCTTTATATCCAATGAGACGAAAATTAGAACTTTCCACCGAAATATGGGAAATTAATACCACAATATCTAATTGAGAGCATTCTGTGCACTTCTTCCTATGAAATGTGGAAAGTATTATTGTCTTATTCAGTCTCTCCAGTGTACAAAAACTGTTGTGATAAACAGAACATAGGGAAGTGTAACTTCTGTCGTCTGAAATAACAAAATGCTATTTTGCATATGTAAATGACTGTGTAGCTCAAAATAATGCCTTTTCTATACTGTTTCTAGATATCTCAATTGTACTTTAAGTCCTGTGCAAATGCTGTCACTGTGGTTGTGACAGGGCAATAAATCATTTTATTATCTTGAGCAGCAACCTCTTTCCAAGGTGTGTACACGTAAATAATTTATGTCTCAAAAATGACTTATACTTCAATAAGTATTCAATAATAAGCAATTGATGCATGCAGTAGGGTAATTCAAGTGTTAAGACTTTAACAATAAAAACATACTCCAGAAATACTAATAATGTTCAAATGACAAGTTTCATTTGATGTAACAATGCATTCATCATGGCTGAAAAAGTTATTTTAAATTTTTTTTGTATGAAACGAATTATTATTAAACCTTCTGATTTACTGAAAAACTAAAGATTTGGAAATAACACAACAAAGATGTGTCTGAATACCCCAAAGAAAAGTAGTGGAAAATAAAGTAAGACCAGTAATAATACCAGGTCTTGCATTTTGAGTTAACGTTTGTGTAAGTCAGATTCCAGGGACTGACAGCTGGTCAATTAGGCAAAAGAATTACTTCCATTCATATGCACAAGGAGTAGTCACCAGTAAATATCTTAAACTTTCATTACTGGCAAGCAAATTTCCAGACTTTCGAAATAATCCTTCTGAGTTTTATTACCAATGCAATGTTCCCATGAATTCAGTGAGACTACTTGTAAGGACTGGAGCTACCCAGGATATGCAAATATAGAGAAGTCTAGTTAATTTATAATTTGAAAGTACTACTACTACTATTCTCTAGTACTTTTCTGTAATATTTTACCACACATGGAAGGGAAGCTTTCTTTCTTCTGTGAATATATGTTCCAGTAGCAATGCTAAGTGCTCTGTATACACCCTCAACTGGATCAGAGTGGGAGGCGAAATAAAGCAGCATCTCGATATAGTCCAGCAGAGCAATGTCTTTTTTTGTATCCGCAAATAAACTGAAGAAAAACTATAAAAGGGCAAAAATAAGCAAATTAATTTCTATATATGGAATTAAATGAAAGACAAATCAAGGACTGTAGAGAAAAGAATGGAATATAGTTATTCTATTTACTATAATATGCAGTTATTCTAATTACTGCTAATAAGAGCTACTATACTTAAGAAAATGTTGAGACTACACTGATCAAGGCTGTGATAAATCATGAATGTGTGTTAAGTAATGCAAGGAAACAGAAACTGAGTTTCACAGAAAAGGGAGAAATTAATAAAACCTTGTATCATGACAAATATGTTCAAAGCAGTTTTTGTATTCAGATTATTATTAGCACCCTCTTTCATGGAAAATTCTGTGAGCTCAGATGCAGTGATCATTGCCTCCATTCTTTACAAAGCTGCTTGCTGTGTAGCAAAATTAATGCCATTCAGCCAAAAAGAGGAGTAATTAAGTATTTCTGAGCAGACTATGATTTAGTATACTCAAGGCTGATTCTTGGATTCCTCTCTACATTATTCTGAAGCACCACTTGACCTGAAAAAAATACCAAAAAAATGCAGCACTTACTGAAAAACAGAGACCCAAAAACCTGAAATGAGACCTCTCATGTTTAAATAGTGATCTCTTCAAAATACCTGTGTTTTCAGTTACCTTTATGAGGTGGTTTATCCTTTCTAAAGACACAGGTTCTTCGCAACTTTTTGTTATGTTTAGATCTTCATTTCCATTAAACCATAAGCCAACCTGATTTTACAAATAAATAAATAAATAAGGTTGTTTATTTTCACACGTTGAAATAAGGTGCTCTTTATATTCTAGCTATTCAACACACAGGTTACTAAGGGCTTAATTTCTGGACCTAATCAAACTGAATTTGTTATTAATATACAATGACCTAAGAATAATTAAGTAGCTGTTTGTATGTTGTAACAGATACTTGAGAAATTACTGAAAGTCAAGTAGGATAGAAGTGAATGTATGCTTTTGAAAAAAGTGAAAATTAACTATGTAGTTGTGAATGTATGCTGCTAAAGAAGCAGAATATGATATGGAGTTTCTATTCATGTTCTGGTTTCTTCCTTTCAGGATTTTTTCTAACCCCTACACATTTTGTCCAGACTGTATTTATAGAAGAAACTGTCTATACTGTCCACACTGTCCATACTATTCAGTATGGTGAAGGATAGAGGCAAGGCTCTCCTTAGCTTGCTCCAACAACAGCAAGCACCAAGAGTCCTACAGAGCCAGAGCTATGACTGTAAATTAAAAGTGCTCAGAATCAATTCTGTAGTACTTCCTCTAGACACAGGATCAGCTAGATCTGGATAGGCATGAACAAACTTCCTGCAGAAAAACTCACTTGTGTGAAACCACACCAGGGTGTACAAAAAACCATCACAGCAGGGACAACCCAGCACCATTACCCGGAGATGGGGCCCAGCACTGCGTAATTAACCAGTATAGGTGCAGAGAGAGAGGGCAGCTGAAGCAGCTCAAATCCTCGGTGGAAGGTTATTCAAATCTGTTTTTATTGCATATTTACTACCTTGTAATATTTAAGTGATTAATTTAATTGCTTGGTTAATATTATATTTTAAATTGGATCCTATACTGAAAATGTACATTCTTGGCCTGCATGTCTTGTTAGCTTATTTGTAAACTCTTCAGTAAAACTTACAACAGAAAAATAAGTGCACATGGACCTACATTTATTGTGGGTTTTCTGGCTGTGTAGAGTTTATGTATTAGAAAGTCTGTGGTGGGCAGATATTGGCGGGTGCTCCTGGAAGGTTTAAATTAATCAAAGAAGTTCTGAAAATGACAGGCCTCTGGACTAACACAGCCTTTATTTATTTTTCTTTAAAATCCAATGCTTGGTGATTGGAAAAAAAATTACAATAAAGGTCCTATGAAATTTATACAGAACAGCTGGGAAATTATATTTATTATCTTATTATACTTATTATCACCAAACAAATATAGAAACTGGCAAGACTGGAGTATCTACAGACACCTATAAGTGCATATATATATGATACTTCATAGCTAGTATAGTGTGAGAGGGTGAACCAGCAAGAATCACTCTAGGTATTCTTAAAAATGCAAAGTAAAAGTAAGTGAAAATAGGCATAATTTTGCTGAAAGAACAAAAATGTACTTATAATACTCTTTCAGAAAAACCTTGCTGAACTATGTGACAATTGAAATAGAAGTTGTCTTCAGAAAACTGATCAAATAATAATTTTATAATTTTCCATGTATGCAAGTTTTGAGGAATAATCTTGAGAAAATTAATTATTGGAAAAAATCTAGAAACATTTAATTAAAATGAAGCTGATGAGATGAAACTGAAATCCTTATTTTTAGTTAGAGGAAATGATCTTATTCAGTGTCAAGTGAGTTAATAATCATCAAAGTGCACAAAGAATGATTTCTTTAAAACAAAAAGGATTTTCACTTGTGATTAATTAATGGGAAAAGTAGGAAAATCAAGATAAAAGTACTTTTAATTAGCCTGATTTGTGGAACTGTGCATGAGATACATATTAGGCCATAAATTTCCTGAAAACACTTTCCACTAGAAAGCTCCTTCAGACCTAAAGCATTTAAAATTTAGACTGAGTTTCTCAAGGTGAATAAATCAAACAACATATCATTCAATTCAGGGAGTTTAACAAAATAAAATTTGATTGAAAAAATAAGAGGATTATAACCTGTGTATAATGTTCCTGTGTAATGAAGCCTGATCCAGTGACATCAACAGACTTGAAGCCATGCAGTGTTTGGAGGAGTTGTGTCACAGATGGCACAGGCCAAGGCTGTGCTGCTGCCAGCAAGAATCTGCGCCAGTCAGTAAGTTCTGAGTTCACTGTGAATTCAGATGCCATGTTTTCTAACTATAAAACCAAAATAGCAAATATTGTCAAATGTGTACATAACAGTCTTTCAATATATCCTTATATCCTCATATATCCTTAGACATTTTCCTGGACACGACGTACAAGGTTCTGCAGTGAGGTTTCACATTTCTATAAAGGGCAAAACAAAAAAAGGCCACAGGCCATGGTCTACTGCCATGTGCAGTTGATATCTCTCTAAATAAACACCCTGAGTGCCCAAATAGGTATCTATATATACCTCAGCTTGTGCTTTGAGAATTTCCTTTTGTTAGTTATCCATGATAAATTTAAATCTCATTTAAAAATGGTTCTTTTAAGGAAAAAAAAAGTCTATTATTAAAATAAAGTTAGGATTTATAAGCACTAAAAGTTCTCAAAGAATACAGAGCATGGGATACATGCACATTTGGTCTATTAATAGACAGTATTTGACTGATAGCTTTCCATGGATAATTAATTCCCTGTGCTGACATTACGTTTTTATATAGTCAAGATGACAGATGTGACTAGTTTTCACTAAACTTACTGGAACTACACCACTTTAGTATTAAAATGTTTTACTCATGCAGTTCATCTGTGTGAAGAATATATGAATAAAGTGGTGAAATCCTGTGAAATTCAATTAAAATCTTAATGTGAATCATGGCTGACTATCAGAAATAGTTATCAAAACATGCTGAAACAAGTAAACATTTTTATTCCATAGGTTTACCAGCAACATCTGAAAGAGAAATTAATTCAGTATGGAAGATTTGGAAGTTTTCATGTTTCTCAGTCTGAAAACCTGGATGGTGTCTTAAGAAATTATATAATTTGCAAATTATAAATAAATAAAGTGCTGACAAAATGTCTGGCACAGTGACTTCCATGATCCTTCCTTAGTGAAACAGAAGAATTTTAAACAAAAACTGGCAATGCCCAATAGTATTATAATATTCATTTTATCATACTAAGGGCAATGCTGCATCTTCTACACAAAACAACACTTGAGCTGAAGAGAATATAGGGGTTAACTTACATCTGCAAGTGTTAAGTTCTTCCATGTATCAGGAAAGCAATTTAGTCCAAGATTCAAATTAACCAAGCCACTAACAGTCTCAATAAATACTTTCTTTGGTATAAAACCTAATAAAAAATCAATATAGAAATATGTTTAGCCTTTTAAATAGACTTTTGTTAAAAAAAAAAAAGGTCTATTTTAAAATTTTAATGCCCATATGAGAAAGCCATTTAGTTTCCATTTATGGACTATTGATAATGCTAATATTTTCCAAACCAAACATAAAATCTCCTCATTTTAAAACGAATCATATGTGACCTATCTAATAGCAAAATTTCAAATATTTCACTGCACTACAATTCTTCTGGTACTTGTCCTGATCATCATTAAGATCACTAATCCATCCTCATTCACAGACAACAATCTCATAGATTTCTGTGTATTGAATACCTACCAACGTTTTCTTCCACTCTGCTCTATTTTAATCAATCATAAGTCTATCTTCACTCTTTAAAGCAAGTGTATGCTAGAGAATAGGGTGAAACACAAGAATTGTTGTCTGTTGAACTCTGAAACAAAATTTAACTGTTTGAAAAGCCTCTCATAACTCACATTTGGGAGTTAAAACTAGCTCCGCTTACTTTATTTTAAAGAAATCCTAAGAAAAGATCAGTTAAGTCCAGCAAACCCTATTCGTTTTTTTAAGCAGGAATAGAAACTTCAAATTTCATGTATGGTATTAAAACACAAAATTATGCATAAAAAATTTTAACAGACAGACATGGGTCTTTTCTTTCAGAATTGGACTTTTCTGGGTCAGTGAGAGATCACTGCAAAACCTCTGCAGTAAAACAAAACATGTAAAATAAGTTTCAAGTTATTTAAATTTTGAGAGATAAAGCTGATTTGGTTAGGTTGTGATCAATTCCATGGCATCAAAACAGGAGTTTTCAGATTACCTTTAATAGCAAATACAATCAGTGAAATACTGGAAAGACTTACTTATATTTTTCCTTTTTCCAGTTAAACTTCTTGTCTGTTTGAAAAGCCAAAGCTGTTCACATTCTATGGCTAAGACACTTTGTTTGAAGTGAAACAGTGAAATGAGATTTAGGTTTATTAAAAAGATATGTGATAGGAATATGAAGAATGTGTTTGAATATTAATTCCATTATGTCGCTATTCAAAATCAAGTTGCCAATTTGAATTAATAGTCTGCATCTCTGTAGATCTGTTTATCTCCAATCAGGAAAACCAGGATTAATGCCCTCAACACATCTTAATACAGCAGAGAGATCCTACACATATTTAATCTTGTAGAGAAGAGGACAAAAATAGATTTAGGAAGCTCAGTCTGTTGGGACAGGAGGAAGGAAGGGAGAACCACCCGGACTTGAAGCCTTTGTATCCTCCCACATATTTCAGCATGAAAGCAAAAGCTAGGAAAAAAATACTGTCAGTGGTAACAGTGTTCTGATGACACATCTTGATAGTTTTTGAGTTTATCTACATTGAGAAAGAACATCTTCTAAAAATTGTGATAAACCATGTGCTGTTTCCTGAAGCAGCTTGGATTGCTAACATAATAATTTTAAGGTAGACAGAAGTTTGTTTTTTCCATGAAAACTTCAAGCCTCAAGAATCAGATCATTTCCATATAGCACAATGAAACCTCATCACAGGAGCATCATTACTGGGACATTTCATCTAAGATTCAATAAACCAGGTAACATTTCAGTGGTTCATGGGGAAAACAGGATATGGTCCATGAAGGAGCCAGTGAACAACAAAAAACAACAGGGAAATATTTTACATCTTCTTTGCAGTCTCAGATTTTCTACTGATTTACCATAAAGAGCCCAGCTAATAATTTTTATTTTGTTTTCTGCTAAACATTTCCCTTTCCATTTGTTCACTGCCAGTCTAAATTAGCTTTCATGATGTCACACCACCTTATGTTTTAAACTCTTTAACCCCTACTATGATTTCCCTACAGGACAATAAAATATGTAGTTCCTATCTTTTTTTATGAGGTTCTGACTTCCTGAAATTTGATTTTCTTCATAGAATTCTAAAAGGGTACTAATATCGTCATATCACTTTTAGTGAAGGTACCTGACTTCAGAAGCATATATTGAAAGTATTTGAGGGACAAGGAATTTAAAGAACTTGCATCAAAACTAATGTCTGAAATTATTAAAGGATTGAAATTTAAAACATTAATCACAATTTACATAAACTATATAATTGCTTATATTAACTATAGAACTGCTGATGTGCTGTAGGGCAACTTCTTTTACTTTACTACTTCCTCCTGAAACATCTGACAAGGGACAATTCCAGTTATAACAGTTCAAAAATTTCAAATGGACTGTGACTTAATTCCTCCTATTGACATATGTAGAAGGAATGAGAGTCTCAAATGAACAGAGGAAATCCCTCATAAACATGAGGGATGAAATATATTCCTCACTGTTTTTAGATATTTTGTCTATACTTGGTGGATTTGGCTATATATTACAGAGCACAGAACTGGTTTTGAGTATCTGATTATAATACCAAACAAGAGGTGACTCATCATTTCAGCTCAAGGGCTTCATGATCACAGAGAGATGCTGAGAGTGGGCAGCTACACAGATGGTACCCAGAAAAGAATACCGGTGTCTGCAAATGGTATTCTGCAAGCAGTGAAAGAAAATAATGTCCTCTAGGAAGGAAAAAGGAAAACAATTCCCAGAATTGGCTTTTTCCACTTAGAAAGTCTCATTTTAAAAAAGGTATGCTCTTTACAAAATCCTTTTATAAGTACAAAATAAAAGAAACCAAACCTAATAAGTTTTAGTTGAATAATGTAGGAGAGTGAATAGAAAATTAAACATTTTTAATTAAAAGGAGTAGCAGGCATCTTATAAAAAGAATCAGTATTCATGAAGATTTTGAAAAACTGGAGAGATGGTCAGGGTCAGTAAGTAAGTTTCACCAGAAACAGATCAAAGAACTTTCTGGAAAATGACTGCATAAATTGATACATTTATTACATTGCAGATAAAACAATTCAGGAACAGACTTTGAGCACATTGAAGAACAGGATTAGAATTCAAAGTGAACTTCAAAAAGTCTAGAATAAAAGTACACTATCCAATAAAGATAAATGTCAAGTGCCCCACTGGGCTGACAAAATGAACTGAATAAATATCCCAAAGGGAATCTTAGTGACAAAGTAAAATTTCTATAGAAAAGTCTCCAAGGATTACAGCAGATTACAATATTATGAGAAAGTACATAGGAAGTAATTGAAAATAATCCTTTTTTTTCCCCTCCCCCCTAGACGTAAAGTCTTCTGCTACAATACAACTTTGGAAACTCTAGATCAAGAAGGATGGATGTAAACAAAAGACATCTCAAAAGAAAGCAGCAAGAATCATCACCTGCTTAGAATATATCTCCTGAGACGTGAGGTTGAAGGAATTATGTTAGATTCATGCATGAAAAGATTATGAGAAAACATGCCTCCAGCCTGCAGCATGAAAGTGACTTTAGTGTTACAGATACAGAACTACCATTTTTTTGTTTATCTTTCTTTTTTTTTTGTTTTCAACTGTGTAACATCCTTGGGACACATTTTCAAACTTTTTCTAATCTGAACATAATTAAAAATCTCCATTTGAAAACTTTGAGGAAAAAGAACCCTCTTGGTACTTATTATGTGATTTAAAAGAAAACTGTCTGAATTCAAAATTCTAATATATAATAAACCACATATCTAATAAGGTAATCCATTAAATCCATCCTGTTGCTTATTAGGCAAAGTATATCTAAGCTTTTTTTTTTTTTTTTTTTTTTTTTTTTTTGTCTATGAAATCACAAGTACAGATATTTTATACAACACACAGTAGTGATCTCTATTTCTGATCTCTTCAGATTAATTCTCCTGGAGTGGACTAACATGCTTTAATCAGGCATTCCTTCAAAACCTACTCAATTTCTGACACACTGTTTATACCCAGAAGTAGTACGAGCATCTTTGCAAAACACCAAAAAGAGACTGTATGTCTCGTATATACACACACACACACACACACATATATATATCTGTGTGTGTCTGAGATATAGCATACACAGTACAGAGCAGAGCTGAGTAATGCAGTAGGGTGTGGGATATTGGGAATCTGCTATTACTACATACATTTTATATTGAAAATAGAGAGTTATCTTGATTTAGCAGAGAGTTGATTCAAAGGCAAATGACCTCGTATTCATTTCTCCCAAATTACCTGTAGTACATCTTCATTTGCTGTTGAAGGAACCAAAAAGGGTCTTTAATGATTTAATTTTAGCTATCTTTTGATATAAATCACAGCTATTTCCTTAATGGTAGAAATATATTCTGCTGGTATGCTTTACCTTTTGAAATTATCAAGTGAAAAGGTGCATTTAGAATACACAGAATTGTGAAAATACATATTCTCTAAATCATACTTATTCTCAGTTCCTAGATTAAAAATCAAGATACAGTATTCTAATTGCAACCCTTAAAAATATTCTTACAAGGAAATAAAAAGTAGTTAAAGCTGTGAGGTATATTAATCATATCCTGTCTGTAAGAGTATTTGTTATGGTAAGACTAATTCATGCAATTAATAATCAGAAATGGGAAGATGGATCTGTTCTGCCTGTCTAGGAAAGTCTTCAGAAGAACAAGTCTGAGGAAGGTCATGTTAAAGTTTATCTGGTTTGCACAATCCATCAGGGTTTGTATTGGAAGAGCCAGATTTAGAAATAGCATGGTATCTTCTAAAAATATTTTCTACTCTACCCAATGTTATGGAGTCCATGCTCTTCAACATTTGCTCTGCAGAAGCTGTATCTGGTGAAGCAGAACTGGCAGCTTCCATGCAGGTAGCCCAAGCATGAGCTTCACTACTCTGGTGTGTGTTTATAAATTCAAGTTTGAAGTCATCAGTGCCAGAACAAAAATTATGAATATTTTCCCCCAAATCCACATTATGTTTCCGACATGGTACACAAAACATTATTCCCCTTTCATCATCATATTTTAACCAGGAGTATTTTGTTAGCCATATTTTTGGAAACTGGTGATTCCTCTTTGTTTTCTGACGTTCCA